GTCTCTCCTCACAACATGTCCAAAGTAAGTTAGACGGAGCCTCAGAATCCTTGCCTCCAAGGAGCCACCCGGTTTAACCCTCTCCAGGACAAATTACTTGCTCAGTCATTTTGGTGTGTGTCTTTTGATGTGAGGCAAGATGAAGTTACTGGAATTATCTATTGTAGCCAAAAAAGTATTTACCTTAAATCTATCAGGCACTTAGATATTTTAGATTAAATTACTGGAAATATCAGAGATAAAACCCACAGGATTCCAAGAGACAATATTTTCATGAGGTAGTCTCTCCACAGAAGATGGACCCTCTCTCTGCCTGATAACTGGCTTGGTCCCTTCAATAAACTAGTGTCATAAAGAAAAGAGAGGAAGAGAAATGAAGGACAGAACTATCAGATAGGACATATAGTCCTGCATTAGATTGTTGTTATTAGGTACCATCGAGTTGACTACAGCTCATAGTGATCCTATGAACAGATCTGAACCTTGCCCTATTCGGTGCCATCCTCACAATCTACTCAAACCCACTGTTACAGTCTCTGTGTCCACCTTTCTGAGGGTCTTCCTCTTTTTTTCTCTGATCTTTCAAATAATGTTAGCTGTATTTGTTGTGATCCACAAAGTCAAATGCCTTTGCATATTCAGGAAAACACAAAATAACTCTCTGGTGTTCTCTGCTCTCAGCCAAGATCTGACATCAGCAGTGATATCCTTCGTTCCATAGCTGTTTCTGAATCCAGCTTAAATTTCTCACAGCTCACTGTTGATGCAGTATTGTAGCCTATTTTGAATAATCTTCAAGCTTTTACTTGCTGTGATATTAATTATATTGTTTGATATATTTTCCAACATTCTAATGTTTTTACTAGAATTCTAGTGAATTTTACTTTCTATCTCAATTGGATACTAGTTTAAAAAACGAGCTGTAAAGGACTTGTAGAAATTTTTTTTTTGCATGGAGGTAGAGGGATCATTTTGGGAAATTTGAAAATAGTCTGGTTATTAGATGAAATGACAAGGTGGAAAATACGGATTGTTTTTCTTTTCCAGCCACACTTCCATATATATATACACACATAGAAAAAGGTCTGGAAAGATATATACAAAGATGTTAGTATTGGTACATTTTTAATAATTTGAAGGTGAAAATTACTTATTTACTGCAATGTGCATGATTTTTTATGTAGTAAAACCTTATTTTTATAAACTATACTAATTCATGTATTGTTATATACCATCAAGTTGCCTGTGATTCAAAGTGACCCTATGTACAATAGCCCTAAACCCTGCTCTATCCTGTGCCAATCTTACTCGGACACACCCACCTCTATTAGCCCAGTCACTGAATCAATTAATCTCACTGAGGGTCTTCCTTTCCTGGGTCCCTCCACCCTCCCAAGCATGACGTCCCTCTCCCAGGACTAATCCCGCCTTGCAGTATGTCCAAAGTATGTCAGATGAAGCTTCGGAGGCTTCATCTCTCCAGGACAAACTTGTTTATTCTCATGGCAGTTCATTCTCTTCTCCACCAACCCAGTTCAAAGGCATCAACTCTCCTATCATCCCTAGTTAATTGTCCAGCTCTCTGATGCATAGCAAGTGGTTGCAAAGAGTATGCCTGTATCAGGTACATCTTAGTTTCCAGACTGACATTGTTGCTGTTCAGTACTTTGGAGCGGTCTCTTGACAGCTGACAGCCAATGTCATTCGTCTTTTAATTTCCTGGCTGCTGGTGTGAAGAGTATTGATTGTGGAGCCAAACAAACTAAAGCTGTGAACACTTTGAATCTCTTCACCATCTATAATGATGCTGCCAATTGGTCTTGTGGGGAGAATCTTTGTTTTCTTGATGTTGAGCTTCAATCCATCTTGAAGGCTGCAGTCCTTGACCCTGTGCAGCAAGTGCTTCAAGTCCTCCTCAGTTTCAGGAAGCAGGGTTGTGTCATCTGTATAACACGGATTGTTGATGAATCTACCTCCAATCTTGATGCCACATTTCTCCTCATGGAGCCCAGCCTCCCAGATAATCTGTTCTGCATATAGATTGAAAAGGCATGGATATAGGACACATTCCTGGCATACACCCTTCCCAGTTTTGAACCATGCAGTGTTTCCTTGCTCTGTTCTGATGACAGCCTCCTGATACAAGAATAAGTTTTGCATAAGCATGATCAAGTGTTCTTGATTTTCTGTTCTCAGAGTCAGCCACAGTTAGTTGTGATCCACACAGTCAAATGCCTTTGCATAGCCGATGAAACACAGATTCCTCTGGTACTCCCTGCTTTCAGCCAAGATCCATCTAACATTAGCTATAAATGGATTATTTTAGTACATTTTAGGATTTTTTTGGCTGACAATTTAATATTTTTTGTGATATCTCTTTACTTTGTCTTTTATATTCTGTATACATCTTTCCTGAAATTTAACTTTTGATTATAGATAATTCAAATCTTATACAAAAGTAGAGAGAATAATGTAATAAATTTTCATGTTCCCATTAGCACTTATCAGTCATGCCTGGGCTTCTTCATCCCTCTCCACCACCCCTTTCCACCTCAGATCTTGTACTTTTCATCCATAATTCAGTATTTCTGGAAGAACCTTCACATATCTAGTTTGGGCATATTGCAAGGAGGGACCAGTCCTTATAGAGGGACATTATGTTTGGGAGGGTGGAGGGACAGTGCAGGAAGAGGAAGATCCTTGATGAGATGGATCAGTTCAGTGATTGGGGGAAGGAGGGTAGGTGTGTCAGAGACAGTGAGGTTGGCAAACCAGGACAAACCAGGGTTTAGGGCTCTTGTTCATAGGGTCGCTGTGAGTTGCAGGTGCCTCAATGGCACATAACAACAGTCTACTATCACATCAAACAGGGAATAGTTTAAACTGTTTATTTCCTAAATATGACAAAATATGTAGTTATTGTTCACTGTTCTATAATTGTTTTGTAAATGGTATTCTCCAGTTAAGTTGTTTGAGTTAGGAGACAGATACTTTCCCTACCTTGTAATGGCTATATTTCTGTGGGAGGTTTGAGTCTAACCGGCAGCTCATCTGGTAAAAACTGCAACTTAGAAAACCACATGGGCAGTTTTCCTGTCACATGGGATCACCGTTAGGTGGAATAGAGTCCACGGCTCATGACAGCAGTGTATTTCCCTTAAACTCTTTCAAGCTATACAGTTTTCTTCCTTGCAAACCAGTCCTTTCATTCTTGGGCCTTTCTCAATAAGGCCAGTTGTCTTCTAGAATGTCTCACAATCTGCATTTCCCCCCGTGTATCCTCTGAACCCTTCAAATCCCAGAACTGGGCACTGGTTCTTGAGAATGCATCTAAGCAAGTCTTTCATGTAAAGTTCATAAAATGTATTTAAGGAGTGGTATTTTGAAATCTGTCTTGAAAGGGAGACTTTATTTCTGTCCTAAAGTTCTTTAAGAGTCTTTCAGCTCTGATTTTGACCTAGGTAAAAACTATTAGAACAGAATATATTGTGATATTTATTCTTCCTTTGTTGGCCTTACTGGTAAGGAGTTGTGCTGCCAACTCAAAGGCAAGAAGTTTGAATCCACCAGCTACTTCATGAAAGATGGACAGTTTCCTCCTGTGTCATTTATAGCCTCTCAAAACTCTCTGGAGGGTCAGCTATGAGTCACTTCCGACTTGACGACACATAACAGCAATATATTGGGATAAATAAGAAGAGTAAGTCCCTGGTGTCAAGTCAGAACCAACTCATAGTTTGTGAGTTTTTGGAGACTGTAAATTACACAGGAGGAAGATTGCTCGGCTTTCTCCTATGGCGCACCTGGTGGATTTGAACTTCCTGCCTTTGGATTGGCAGTGCAACTCCTTTACCACAAGCCACCGGAGCCCCTTAATATTGGGATATTGTGGTGTTATATGTCATTGAGTCACCTGTGACTCATAGCGACCAATTTACCCTAACTCTGAAACCTGCTCTATCCTGTGCCAATCTCATTGTCTCTGATAGACCTAATCCCATTTCTCCAGTCACTGAGTCAATCCACCTCATCCTGGATATTCCTGTCTTGCACTGTTCCTCCACCTTTCCAAGCATGATGTCTCTCTCCAAGGACTGATCCCTCCTGGGCACAAGCCCAAAATATGTGAGACGGAGCCTCAAAATCCTTACCTCCAGGGAGCAGCCTGGTTTTAGGTGTTATAAATATTAGTAATACAAAGTTTAGACTATCACTTTCCAAATTTTCCAATGCTAAATTAAAAAAATCTGCTTTGAAAGAATATTTCAGTGTAATAGTTTTCTCTTGATACTTTATTTCATATCTTCTGCATGTTGGCTTGTAAACGGACTAATTTTTATGATATTGTTAGATGCCATTGAATTGGTTCCAAATCAAAGTGACTAGAACAAAGTAGTGGCCCGTTTTGACCGTCCCAGCCCTATAATCTCGACTCTGCTTGACTGTTGTTGGCAACCACTAAGTCATTCTGTTCCATTCAGAGTCTTCCTCTTTTTGGTTCATCCACCATTTTACCAATCTTGATGCCTTTCACAAGGAAGTGCTCTTTCCTAATATTTATGGTACTTATGTGCAGGTTTTTTTTTGTTTTTGTTATCATAATTTTGTTTTGTATTATTGCTACAGGTGCTAAGGTCAAGTTTCCATTTCCTGTCCATCTACAACTGAATGGATTAAGAAACTCTGGTACATTTACACAGTGGAATACTATGCAACACTCAGGAGCAACAATTTCCAAAAATACTACATAACTTGGGAGGGACTGGAGAGCATTATGCTGTGTGAACTAACTCAGTCTCATAAGGACAAACACTGTATAAGACCATTATTGTAAAAACAGATAACTAGTAAAACATGTATGGGGATCTAAGGGGGCATGGGGTTGGAGCAGAGGGATGAGGATAGGTAGGGGCAAAATCAGAGTTGCACAGTTTGGTGGATGTAGAGGGGATAAAGGAAATGGGAGAGATACTCTGGGGATTGGAAAAGACAGGGTAGTGATGGATGTAGTCCAATGGTGATTAATTTTATAAAACATAATGCATGGGAATGATTGTATGAAATATAATGTGAATGAAGAAGTGTAGAACAATGTATATGAACTTTGTAAGCAAATATAAAATAAAAATTAAAAACAAAACAACAACAAAAGCATTTTCATTTCCTGCTTACTGACTTATCTCTAATGATTATAGGTTGAAAATGATAGTGATACAGAGACCATTGGAGAAGAGAATGATGAAGGTGGAAGTTATTCTAAAAGAAAGATTGTCTCTAACTGGGATCGGTACCAGGATATGGAAAAAGAGGCTGATAATGAAAGTGGAGAATCACAGAGAGGAACGGATTTCAGTGTTCTCCTTAGCTCTGCAGGTATGAATTCCAGTTACATGAGTGCCACCGTAGGGATGGGGAATTTGTGCAGCCCATTTTTTGGTTACTTTTTATATTGCATTTATAGGACTAGCATTTTGTTTTTCCGTTTTTGTATTTCAAATCCACGTAGAGGACACGGTTTCCAATGGGCTGCAAGGGAAAAAAATGAAGTTTTAAAAGTGGAAATCAAGATTTCCATGTACTAATGTCAAATGACTAGAGTCTTTCTTTTGATATGGATAAAAGGTAGAAATGTGGAAAATGTTGAAACAGAAGTTGGTGCTCTCCGACTTGTGAGGACTTTTGTTTGGTTGATAAAAGACTTTACCAACTTTAAAAAATAAGCTTGTTCTCCTTTTTTTTTAACCTTTTAAAAATAACTGGAATTATACATGTTACTGAATGTGCACGTATTAGAGCTGTGTGCGCCGGAATACTACTTTTTTCTTTTGTCGGGTACTCTGCCGTTGTATCAGTAAAGTGAAACACCCATTCTCTCTATGGACAGCTGTTACACAAGATTGGCTCCTCTTAAAAAAAAAAAAAAAAAGATTGGCTCCTCTTTAAGAGAGATGGTGAAGCTAGGGACTAGCAACAACAGATCAAGGGAACAGCCTGGGTGTACTACTAGAGTGTGATGTATGAATTTAAAAGATGGATATGACTGATTCATGGTTGTCTGGTACCGGGAGCCGTTGGATATAGTTATAAGTGAAGGAGTCTGTTGCTCTTGGAACTGTTCAGTTTCTTGACTATGATGATGAATACACAAGTGATAATATTGTAAAACTTAACACAGATGTACACAGATGAGTACATGTAAAACTTGGGAAATTGAAATAAATTTGGTTTATGTCAATGTCAATATGCTGATTGTATTTTTATTTTGTTGCTTTGCAGAGTGTTATCACTGGGGGAAAGTGATATATGAAAGTTGTTAATAAGGGTGAGAAAAGAGGTGTAGTATGATGAGAAGGTGGAAGATAAATTTTTGTCTAGAAAGTACGAGAATCAGTGAAATAGGAAAATATAGTATGTCTGCTGGTTGACAATAAGGAGACACACATGCAGGTGCTGTTAGGTGCCCTGGGGTCGACTAGGACTCAACATGACCCTGTGAACAGTAGATAAAACTTTGCCCTGTCTTGTCATCCTCACAATCTGTCATGTTCAAGCCCAGTGTTAGGCTTTGTGTCCATCAGTCTCATAGAGTGTCAGTAAAAGATGACTCTTTATTTTCCCCACCATGTCCTTTCTCCAAGAACAATTGCCTCCTAGTAATATGCCCAAGTTATGGGAGATGAAGTGTGACTATCCTTGCCTCTAAGGGGAGAACCCGTTACACTTCTTCCAAGGCAGATGTGTTTATTCTTTCAGTAATCCGTGGGATAGTCAGTACCTTCTCCAATACCACAATTCAAAGGCGTAAATTCTGTCATCTTTATTAATTATCCAAGTTTAAGATGTATAGAAGCAAATTAAAATGGCTTGGATCAGGCAACTTTAGTCTTTAAATGGACATCTTTGTTTTTAGTCACTTTGGAGAGGTCCTTGACAGCAGATTTTCTCAGTGCAACATGTCTTGATTTTTTTGACCGCTGCAACTGTGGGTGTTGATTGTGGATCCTAGTAAATAAAATCATTGACACATCTTTTCTCCATCTATCATGATGTTGCTTTTTAGTCCAGTGGTGAGGATTTTTGTCTTCTAGATATCGGGATGTAATCCATATTAAAGGCTGTAGTCTCTAGACCTTCATCTTCTGTAGTAAGAGCTCCAAGCCTTCCCTTTCTGCAAGCAAGATTGTGTCATCTGTATAATGCACATTATTGATGTCTTCCTTCACTCCTGATGCCACATTCATATAATAAGTTACTTTTACAGTGGTGTCTTTCAATACATAGTTTAAAACTTTAATGTAATTGGATTTATTACTTAAATATTTTATCATTTATGTTCTTTTATGTCTTATTTGAGAAATATATTCTTCCCAAGGATTACAAAGATGTTCTTCTGTGTTTTCTCTTACAAGTTTGATATTCATATTGTTTTCTAAAATTCATTTCTTACTGTTTTCACTACAGTCATTTTAGATTGGTCAAGTGGGATGGCAAAATTATTTTTGTTTTTGTTTTTGTTATTGCTGTTGATTGTGTCGGGTTGAGCACAACTCATAGTGACCCTATGAACAAAAGACCTGAAGCCTTTCTATAATATCATCATTTATAAAAGTTCATAGTTTACAGAGGCATGTTGTTTAGTAAGTGGATGCCTCTCCTGCTTTCTAACCTGTCTTAAACTGGGAGCTCCACCAAACACTGTCCATGGCATTTGAAACACCAGTGACACAAGGTTCAGCATCACAGCAACCCCAGTTTACCTCAGTACAGTATATTGACAGAAGAGTGCTATACCACTTAGAAGAATGTTCCCCATTTCATTTTTCTCATTGAAGAAAAAAAAAATTCTTTCATTTCATTCCCCCCAAGTCTACAGTCCACTTTAATATGCATTTCTTTTTCTGTAATCTTGTCATGAAAATAATACTTAATCTTATATTCCTTTTAAACAGTTCTTTCCCTCATCTGTTTCAATGCAGTGTACATTAGGAAAATGTGCAACAATGAATGGGGAAAAAAATTAAATGTAAGGATATGCTGTAGAAAAAATAACAAGTTACATTAAAAAAATCATTAATTAAAAAAAATTTAATAAAAGTTCCTCCAAAATGTAACAACCAACTTTTAAATAGAGGCTCTCCCTGAGGTCTTGTTGACTCTCAACTAGAGGCTTTAAGTAAAAACAAACAATATAATATGTTATTGTCATTGTTATGTGCCATTGAGTTAGTTGCCTGTGGCCTATAGTAGTCTATGTATAGCAGCTCTGAACCCTTCCCTGTTCTGAGCCAGTCTTCCTAATTCTGACACACCAACTCCCATTGCCCAAGATACTGTATCAATCCATCTTATTGGGGTCTTCTTCTGCACAGTCCCATCACCCTTCTGAGCTTGATATCTTTTGGTCTCTCCTGGCCACATGCCTAGAGTGTGTGAGACGGAGCTTTAAAATCCTAGCCTCTAAGGAAAAACTTGGTTTCACCCTCCCCAAGACAGACCTATTTGTTTTCTTGGTAGTCAATGATTGATGATTATATAATCTTTATTTTGTTTTCCATTTTTTCCTAGTGTATAATTTATTTACTAAGTGGCAAATTAACAAAATTTAGAACCTATTTATTATTTCAACATTGAAAATTCTAAAATTTTTAACATTTTAATTGTAATATCAGTTGTTTATTTAAAACTGGTTTTTGATTCTATAATCTTTCTCTTGGCACCATGTGTGATGTGAAAAGCACAAGCCTAAAGAGTCAAAAAGGTCTGTCTGTCTACTCTCAACTAATAGTTTTTGTTTCTTCCTAAAACAAGAAAAAGCAAGAGTAGAAAAGGGAAAAGCAAGAAAGAATGAATAGTGATTGATTTCATGAAGTCAGCATTGGATCTCAAATTCACCAGGGATTTTAGTTCTACTTGATATGCTACCTGAAGCCAAATAAACTCTACTAGTGTTTTCCCCCCTCAGATGGCAAACATTATAGTAATGGTTGCCAACAGGAGTTCTATATCTTTTTCCCCATCTTGAAAACCAGTATAAGTAATTAATTGTTGAGTCTATTTATTTAGTCGAGAGCATTGTTAGTGGCGTTTTTAACAGGGCTTCTAACAGAATCATTGCTATTTGACTCTGTACTGATAGTTTGAATTTCTACTGTAGAAAAATAGAATCAGAATCTACATTTTTAGCAAGATCTCCAGTTGATTCTTATGTGCACTTAGGTTTTTAATTCAAAGCATGCATTTCAGCTCTCCCACATTGGTGGTGTATGTTGATATGTTCATGTTGGAAGAGAATTTTCCAGTGACGTTCTAGCACTCATCCTCTTGGAAGAGACACTAGAGAAATTCTAGCACATATGTACCAGGAGCCACACCCGTGAATGCTCTTCTCAGTATTGTTCAGAGCAGCAACAAATGGAAGCAACTCAAGTGCCCATGGGTAGTGAAATGAATACATAAATAAGTGAATTAATCTCTCAAACTGAATGTGGAAGAAAAGAAACAAGGTGCATACACAAAATACCTCAATACGATACCTCTAAAATTCAAACAGGAAAAATAAATTATGTTGTTCAGAGATGGAGACACTGGTGGTAAAACAAAATCAAGGAAATTCTTACAAAAGCAGTGTTGAAACTGCCTGTTAAGAGAAGTTATGCTTGAGGGAGGGGCACAGGGTAAGAGGTGGTGAGGGGACTTGTGTGTGTTGCAGTATTTTTTTTTCTTTGAAAAGGATCCTGGATACTTTTGTTTAAATTGTACACATGTATTCTTTGACATTATATCTCTCTTTAAAAATGGGTTTGTAGTGGTGATATTGTGTTATCACAGTAACACCGAGGAGCGTGTTTGGAAAGGACAGTGCTTTTTTCCTACTGCCATCTGGTGCTGTGCAGGTGCTGCCCATCCTATTTGGGTTTCTGATCATGGGCAGTGCATGGTGTGCTCATTTTACAAGTGAGGATATAAGAGGAAAGGTTTGTTTGAAGTGATGCTTTTTCTGGTATTATTGAGAGTCTTCACATGTCTTTTTCAGACTCTCTGTAAGACTCAGATATTCATGTCTTCAGCTTTTCTTTTTGGACATTATTCTTGTAGTTCTAAGTTATGTTTCATGAGCTTTAAAAAAATAATACAATGCTCTCACTAACCTTCAAGCATAAAAAGTTAGATCTTTAAGGAATTTTTTTTTCCTGTCCTCCTCCTCACTACCTGAACAAAGAAGTGAGTCAGTGAACTCATGCCATATGCAATGTCTGCTCCTTTTAAGATATCACTGAAAAGTTAGGGGAAAAATGTTAATCGTGTGAGTAGAATATACTGCAGCAATAACTGAAGATAAATATGAGGAAATGTCTTTTATTTGCAAGCCTGTC